AATCATATTATATTCGTGTCAAACATTCTAGCTTTTATCTGGGACTACAAGAATGAACTTACTTTTAAAGAGGTGGTTCTCCAAGCTACCTTTAGCCATGAACTCATAAACGAGCATCCTGTTTTTAGGTTCCGAGCAATATCCAATTAGCTTCACCAAATTCTCGTGACGAAGCTGACCTAAGTATCTAACCTCAGTCTGTGAAGTTAGGCAGACAAACCAGATAAAAGCTATTTTAGAGAGTGCAATCATTCCTTAGCAATTTTAGTCCCAATATTTCAACTTCTTATCATTTGATCTTGTAATTTACTATTTTGCTGCATTTTTAGTCTCAAATGACTCGAATTGCGTTGAATTTTAAAATCATAGGACCAAATAGCAAAAATGTTCAATTCTTAGGACTAAAAACGCCACAGGATCAAACCAACAGGACCTGTGTGCAAACAATGGAATGAAAGAGTCATGGAAGACTTACGAGCCATTCACGGTGACCCTGAAAGCTTTGAGATTTCACTTTTTTAACGGCGACAACTGTACCGCTTCCATGTCTGGTAGAGGACAAAGTGGGCCCATTAACCCACCCTTTGAACACATAACCGAAACCTCCCTCGCCAATGAGATTGTCGGGAGAGAAGTTTCTAGTGGCGTTTTTTAGTTCGGTGAATGTGAATGACTTAAGGCTGCTCGAGACAGATAGATCATTTGGTGATGCCAAGAAAGCATCACACACGTTAGCTGGATTTGTTTGCTGGTTTTTGGTATTTGGGGACTGTTTGGCATTTCCAGGAGATACTTTTGTTCCTGAAAAAAAAAAATTAAATATATAGCCAAAATGATGTAAAGTATATCAAACAATTTGCAAGTAATGTGTTTGTAGTACGTATTATGTAAATTGTAAACCCAACTAAAAATCGAAGAAAAACGGACTTCTCAAAAGAACTCCACAACTGAGGCAATACAGGATTTATGCAAAATTCTCTCTCTCTCAATCAAATTCAACTGACATTCAGTGCCTGCTAATATTTCTGACATAAGATAGAATTGGACAGCAGAAAAATGCCAAATCAGACATAAAAAAACAAGAAATTCTAAATAAAAGTGAGAATTTCAGAAGGCATACTAAAACCTTTCCCATAATCACACTTAGCAGGGGTTGCAAAGCAAATGCCCATATCTAAAATGTCTCCTTTAGCAATTTTCAAAAAAACAAGGGTAGCTGAAAAAAGCGGAAAAAAAAGAGAGTCCGGCAAAAAGAAGAAGAAATAAAATAAGGGAAATGTGCCAAGAATTAAGAGTTGAAACAGAGCTATAGAGTGTTGGAGACAGAGATAATAAATAGAAGTATTGGGTCTTTTGGTGGCCAGGCCAGTCAAGAGAAAGAAGTATACNTTTGCAAATTGGCTGGCAGTATTTGGAATTGGAAGGTGGAATAATATTTTACGTCTGTTCAAAGCAGGCTGTTTGAGCACAACCTTACACAATCTATTTATTTATTTATATGTCCGTTTGAAATTCTTTTGGCATGTTCGTGTTACGTGGTGCTCTCCAAAAAATTAGGGGTGATTGATGGGAAAAATGTTAAAGTTTACAAGTACGTAATTAAAAGTTATTTTCAATGGACAATATAATCTAAATACAATATTATCTACTTACTAAATGCTAAAATTTTATAATATGTAGCAAAAAATTAATTAAATAATTAAATATTTTTAAATTAGTAAGAATATTTCTTTCTCTTCCCTTCATTGATTAGCTAGAGTGTGGAGGAGAATGTGGATGAACTACATTTTTCTATACATTGTAGACATTAATTATATCCACATAACCAAAGCATTTGTAACCACATTGTACATTGGAGGATGAAAATTTGTGACATTGCTAAATGTGGATGTGAAATGTAATTTATCAAAACAACGTTTGAGCATTGGAGATGCTCTAACAAGCCATCAGATTCGAGGTAATTATATATAAAACTTGCACAATATTCGAGATAATTTACCACATTAATTTTCTTATTAAAAAAAAAAAAGTATGGAGAAAAAAAAAAAAAAAATCTTTTTCACCCCACTATTAAAGATATATTAAGTTTTCACATCGCTTGCTGATAATTTAACTTTTTCATCCAGAAAATACGAAGGTTATGCAAATAGACTGCGTAACTGTTGCATATCAATTGCATAACTGTGGCATATGCATTGTACAATATTTTCGCAATTTAACTTTTTCACCCCAAAAAGTACGAATGGTCATGCAAAATGTCATCACACAACTGTTGCCTACATTATTCACACATCTTTGCACTTTTCAGGGCAAAAATATTTAACTTATCAGCAAACGATGTGAAAAACTTAATACATTTTCACTAAAAAAACGATTTTGTGTTGTAGTTTAGGCATTTAAACTCATTTGATACAACTCCCTCTACACCACCCCTTTTATTCTTTTTTAAGGAAATACACATTTGGTACAACAATGATAAAAGAAAATAATAATGATATTTACTTTAGTAAAACATTATTCGGGCGTGAATTCTTTTGGAAGAATATACTTTCACAGCATACACATAGTTATATTATCTACAACCTGTGAATCTTATATTATTATTTATTTATTTTACTATGTATTATAAGAAGCATTTATCTAGCTCCAGGAGTTGTTTAATGTGTCACATGAAACGAATTTCAAGTTTCAAATGTAAAAAGAACAATTTGGTTGGACTGTTGACTCGTTTAAATCTTTAATTCTAGATTGTGACGTTTCCTCAGATAAAAAATCCACATCATTCTCTTAAACTACGGGATGGAGTTGAATTTAATTTTCAAATAGTGCTGCAATAAATTATATATAAGAAACTATTCAGATGCATGAATTTAGCTATAACTTTATATTGCAACTTATATATTTTGAGGAGTCACGGACAATCAGGGACGGATTTGTATTGGGTCCAGATGGGGCCATGGGCCCCCCTAAATTTTTTTCAAAAATCAATAATATATATATATATGTGTGTATGTGTGTGTGTGTAAAAAATAAGAAAAATACGTATATAAATGTAAAATATATCTACAATATATTAATAATTAAAACTTATTTTTTATGTTGTTTTAATTTAAATTAAAAATAATATTTATTTGTTAAAAAATGTACTAACAATCCTCATTTTCACATTTCTAGATAAATTTGAAAGAATATTTATAATAATTTACTCTTTGGACCTCTTAATTGTAAATCGATATAGTAATTTATAAAACCTAGTATTTAGTTGGATTGTTACGTTTTATAATTTTGAATTGTTTACTTCCACATATTTTTAAATTTATTTATTTTCTTTTTAAAAAATATTCATTTTATAAACTCTCATCAACAAAGATGTTATGCAATGTGCTGCAAACGTTCAATTTAAATCAATTTTTTAATAAAAAAAACTCATTTTTTTCCATAAACTATATATGTTGAACTTAAGTTATAAATATATGAAATCTCGTATTTTTTTTTGGTTTATTTTTTTTAAAGTTTGAGGGTGATACATATTCTAAGTTTAGAAAAACTTGATGGTACACATATCGATATTTATATATATAGTAGATACATTTTTATATGAAATGAGCGTTTCGACTTAAACTACAAGCTCGTTATAACATTTAAAATCGGGTCCCCCTGAATAAAATTCCTAGATCCGTCACTGCGGACAATGGAATTGTAGTTTATTGCAAATATTTGTTGCCCCATTTTTGGTTTTATAGATCTTGGATTCTTGCGAAAATATACAAAATGAAGTTATTATATGTGTTATTCTCTTTCTTTCTTTGTTTTGTGTGTGTGTGTGTTTTTATTTTTATTTTTAATTTAGTGATTTTCACTAACGTAACTAACGTAAGTAGGATATGACTTTTTGTCTGTTTTCATCTNTAGGACGATGAAATCGTGATTTTTCATTATCATTTCTACACAATGTTCAGATAAAGAAGATGACATGAAATATTCCCTAACCAACTAAGATTGAGATCTTAAAGGTTTCGAAGCAACAACATAAAAGCAAACACGCTTGCATAAGTAAAACACGTCTTTAATAAGATGAAAAGAGAGAACATAAAATGAAAATAGAAACGGATGCACGAGTCCATGCACATATGAGCTGCAACATGGACTTCTACAACCAATATTCAACATTTTTCTGTTATTTATTTATTTCTTTAGTTTTTTATAGTAACTTTTTATAGTAACTTTTTATATATTTCTAAATAGATTTTTTTAAAAAAAAAATCTCGACCAATATTAATTGGCATTCCTTCTGCTATTTATTTATTTCCTTTTAGTTTTTATTTATAGTATACAACCAACGTTGTGTTTGCTCCAGTGATTCTTGTGGAAGAAAACACAAAATATTACAGCTTTGGAAGTGAAAAAAAATCGCATTATTATTGAAAGAAAATGAGTGAACACAAAAGCATGATCAAATTCTACAATAATAATAAAACTAATAAAGTACTATTGAAACTGTAACTGAATTTGCAGGCAAAAAAATAAATAAAGATAAAGACACCCGTGATTATGAATTACAAAAATCTAAACACCATCACATGTCAATCACCAGGATCACAAGCATTGCAAAGAAATAATATAGTTATGAAATGCTACAAATACTNCAGAACAGGGCAACTGAAAAAAACATGCCTAGCAACTGATAAAACCAAACCAAGGTATATATATATATATTCACTCCAGAAAAGACTCTGTAATGCAAGACGACACTAACAAATTGGCTATAAATATAATACATTTTCTACACTGCAGTTTTGTTTAGAGTCGACATACGTAAAATGCCTCAAGCAGATCTGTCATCAGGTCCAGCAAGCATAATCTGCCAAAATGTTAATAAGAAAATTACGTGAAAGTGAATAATTCATTTTTCTTCCCCTTTTAGAATCTTGAAGCTTACATTGCAGTCGAATGCGAATCTTCTCGCTAGCATTATTGCGGCATTCCTTTCACGTTCGGATTCGAATGCTAAGATAAAAGACAATTCAATCTTTGCTTGCCAATATGCTGCCTGAGCTGCCGCATTTCCACCACCTCTAATCCCACAAAGCTGAGATTATGTTGAAGACAAAGCATGTAAAGTAAGGGATATTTACAAAATTCCCACTGAACTTTAATTGAAAAAATGTTCAACTATCTTCCAAATTACAGTTTCTTCTTTAAATTGAACACTTTGGAGCAAAGGAGACAACTCTAAAACAAAAAATATTTCTCCGTGTNAAAAAAAAAAAAGTTTGTTTTGAGTTCATATATATATGATTTACCTGCATTGAGTTAGAATAATACTCCTTGGCTATTGTTGTTTTCCCTTTTCGAAGTTTTATTCTCATCTTCCCTATGTGCAGGACATGGATGGAATCTGACGGTCGATCTACTTCGTTCATCTGGATTAAGACGACCTGCAAAATATATTTTTCTTCTTTAAATTTATAGAACGAAAGTAAAGAAGACAGAACCTTTGTTTGGAAGACATGCAGGAAAACAGAACATGCATATTATACTTCTCTTTTTCTTTTCTTTTTTTCCTTTCTTTTGTACGTAAAATATAAAAACACTTACGGTGAATTCAATATCGTGCCTTCGTACCAGTGCCTCTACATAGTTACCCAATCCAGCAGCTGTACAAGGAAAACTTATTTATTTTGTAGAAGAACAATTATGATTTTTTTCTTTTTTTTTATTAATATATGTATATGTACATGTATATACAGTTACCCAATTATGATTGTAAGAAGCTATGGACCTGGATCAATAGGAGCAGAGGTTGACACAGTTATTAAGCGGCGATCATCAGTCAAAATATCGGCTTTCAATATTCGTCCAACATCAAAGGGCTCTGGAGCATATACAGGTTTGTTGGCCCCTGAAATTTTAAAACCGGTTAAAAACCCATACAAATTTCTAAAGATTCAATTCTGGCAGAAGCATCAATCTGCTATGGTAATTCTCACTTTAAATTAAAAGAACCATCCCTGGATTTAGTCTAATTACAACAAGAAAAAATTATCCTATCATCTTGCATGTTTATGAATAATACCCATTCGACTAATTCAGGTCTTTTCTTAACAAACACATTCTCTTGATTGTTCAATTTATAATGTAGGGACATGGTATACATGCAATATGAATGACAGCTGTTTCTTGACAGAGTCCTAATCTAATCGTTTGTAATTATGCTTT